TGGGTAGAGACTCAATATATCCATCTGCAGTGTGACTTCAATCGACCGGCATGTTTGTGTGCGTGTGTTTGTGGGTGTGTGTCTGGGTTTCTGCGACAGAGGGCGGGGCCTCAGGTTTGAAATCTCCCGGGTTTGCGCGTGCACGTGAATAACTTGGTTTCGTTCGTACGTCATGGCGAAACACCTAATGAGTCGGTATCAAGGCGACTCGTTTGAAGCACTATGAGTCGACTCTTTTATAGATGAATCAACCGTTTTAAACACTGTATTCTTACAGATTTAAGCCTTAGCTGGATACTTCGCTTCACTTAGAGCTGTGTTACACACTACATGGAGGGGAATTTTCAAAAACCCATAATATGGGCTCTTTAAGCATTCAACAAGTTTCTCACCTACTCTGGAGTGTCCTCAGGGAGTGGAATGACAAAGAATCATTTGCACTGGAGACAATTCTACAGACAAACAAAACAACAGTGAGAAAGGTAATAATTCAATTATTTAATGAACAGAAAATAAATAAATGCAAAGGCTTATATGATTCTTACAGTCGGCCTGGAGAAAGAGTCTTGAATTCTGTCTGACAGATGACTGATTGTTATTGACCCTGCAAGACAAATTTGAACCTTAATGCAGTTTAATTAATTTACAGTACAAAAACTATTTTACAGGAGCAGTTAAAAGAAAAGTGGTTAGACTTTACCTGCTAAATCTCCACATGAGCTAATAACACCTACATGCATATATTTACCATTTTATGTTAGTGTAAAATATTAAGTAAATAACTTTTTTATATACATGTTCATAAGTTTTGCTCTTATTGTTAATGACAGCCTATTAATGTAGGCTAAACTGAATCATCAATACTGGTATTGTAGTAAATGCTGGAGACATATCTACAATAGCATGATACTGTATAGCTTTTTGTTAGGTTTTCTAACAAATTCGTGCATTATTATCATTATTAAAATGTTTTATTTCTACACTATTCCACTCCAAACTCACCTAAAATGGTCATTTTCAGCTCTGACTGAACACACAGCAGGTGGATGATGGGCAGAGATGCTGGAAAACATGTTGACCAGCTGTCTTTGAGGACCAGTGTAGGAAGACCCTGATAAACTGCACCAGATTGCTGTAATAACATGACATATTGCTCAAACCTGACTTACTTTTAGCATAACGGCTAATTTTAGCCTAATCAAAGCAACGCCACATCGCTACTGACAATGTGCATCATTTATTTCAGTTCCTTCGAGTAAAACTCAATAATGTTATTAAACGAATACAAACTGTACTTACACGGTGGGAGATTTGTGATAATTGTCCAACTTTTCGCCGCGTCCTCATGTTCTTTTGGCTGTGGAAAGCACGTCGCTTTCAGACCATCAGTACACAGTTGATGCCGTCGCGGAGCGACATCTTTTGGCCGGGGAGAGCACATTGTCGTCCGACCAATGTTTGCTGGGAAGCTACTGGGAGGCTGAGGCTGCGGATCGCTTGAGCTCAGGGCTTCTGGACTGCAGTGGACTATGTCGATCGGGTATCCGCACTAAGTTCGGTATCGATATGGTGCTCCTGGGTGAGCTCGGGACCGCCAGGTCGTTTAAGGAGGAGTGAACCGGCCCAGGTCGGAAACGGAGCAGGTCAAAGCTCCCGTGCCGATCAGTAGTGGGATCGTGCCTGTGAATAGACACTTCAGTTCAGCCTGAGCGACACAGAGAGACGCAGACTTTTACATTAATTTTTTTTTTAAACTTTGATTTGTCTTTCTAACTGTAAAACTGAAGAAATAAAGATTTAGAGATGTATGATGACTATGCATTATTAATAGTAAGTAATAATTAAAAGTTTACTAGCAGACTTCAGAAAGTTTATTTGTAAACAAAAATACAAAAATCATCTCAATTTCATGTCTATATTTTTAAAATATGCCTTAGACAGAAATATATTGAATTTAATTGAAAATATATCAAATTAAAAATATATATATAGAGAATAATTTTACTTTAAACATAAATGGCACATTATAATTTTTGGCCCCATCAGAAACAAAAGTAACACACGGGTAAGTCACAACCAGATTTACTGGCTTCATCATGTTTGTTTTAATTATATCTGACTATGACATTGTTAATTATTTTTTAATACCACCTGATATTGACGGTTAAAAAGCTTCCAGTACAAAATGGCATTTTTATTGATAAATTAGTTATAGAGTATTATGCCAAATGCAGTTTTAATCTAGAAAGTTTTGTTTAATAAAATAGAGGAGGGGGATATATTTAAGAAATTAATAACACTTAAAAATATTAAAGCAACAGGGTTAGATAATATTCCAGTGCAGTTCCCTCAAAGACTCTCTAAATGCGTCACTCCGATGGTTACACATATTATCAATTTTTCTGTTTGTCAAGGTAAAGTTGAAAAAAGCAAGAGTTATTCCTCTTTTTAAGAAAGGTAGTAGGTTTGAGGTTAATAATTCTAGGCTGGTATCAATTTTGAGTGCTTTGTCAAAAGGGAGGGAAAAAGTTATTTATTAGCACATTGAAAAATATTGTTTAAAATGTGACGAATTGTAGAGTTTCAATCGGGTTTTAGGAAAATCATTCCACTGATTCAACAGTTTCTTTTAATTAACAAATTATATAAAGAGCGATATGGATAAAGGAAGTTAAGTGGGATGGTTTTCTTAGACCTGCAAAAAGCTTTCAATACAGTCGATCACACGATACTGATTTTAAAAGTAAAGGCAATGGGTTTTGGTGTTTTGGCCTGTAAATGCATGAAGTCTTACCTTGAAAACAGATGTCAAATAGTAGATTTAAATGGTGTGTTTTCAGATTATTCGACCGTTTCTTATGGGGTTTCACAAGGCAGTGTTTTAGGTCCTTTGCTTTTTTAATATACATCAATGATTTGAAAATGGCCTGTTCAAAAAAGCTTTTGTTAAATGCGGATGATGCAGCAATAATTGTGTCTCATGAGAGGAAGGAATTTATTGAAAATGAAAAAAGTAAACAAACTGAGGAAGTCTCTTAAAGGTTTAACCTTAATAAATTGTCCTTACACTTGTGTAAACCAGAATTTATTTTATTTGGTTCAGCTGCGAAACTGAGAAAATGTGTCAGATCAGAGGTAAAAGTAGAGCATCAAATTAATGAACCCAAACATGAAGGGAAATATTTAGGTTGCATTTCAGACAGTAATTTGACAGGTGAGAAGATGGCTGTTATAGTCCATTCAAAAGTTCTAAAATTAAGTTTTTAGCAAGACAGACAGAGCTCTTAGATTTCCAAACTTTACAAATATTGGCTGGTGCATTAGTGCAGTCATACTTTGACTATGCTGCAGTCTTTTGGTACAGCAGTAGTTCCACAAAAATTTTAAAAATAAATTGCAGACGGCCCAAAATAAGTTGCAGAATTGTTATCAAAGTACTTCTACTGACACATTTAAATAATGAATATTATAGTCAAATTAATTTATTAAAAGTTGGAAAAAGGGTCACTTTTCTGAAATTGGTGATGGTGTTTAAGATTTTAAAGAAAATGGTCCCAAAATATTTACTTATTAAGTTTTAGTTAGTGAGGTACACTGTCATTCTACAACAGCGAGTAGCAGGGGTATTTGTCCTTGTAGAATTAATAGTGAAACAGGTAGAAAGTCTTTTCTGTGTACTGTTGCTTGGAATATACTGCCGAAGAGTTTTAAAGAGATTCAATTTGAGAGTTTTTGGAGAGGAAATTAAAAAATGGCTGTTTTACGGTTGAAGTTGAGGATTTTTGTTGTGCTGAGTTTCTGAGCTGATGATGTTTGCACTTTATGATTTGCTCGTTCATTTTTTAAGAATATCGATGACCACGATGGAAATCAGCCTGCGTGGCTTTATTGTGTATTTTATCCTCGACAGTTTTTAAGATATGAATGTCAAACTGGACTTGTTTGTATATTTTTGTTAAAATTGTTAAATAAAATTAATCAATCAATTTATTCATTCATTTTCCTTTAGCTTAGTCCCTTTATTAATCTGGGGTCGCCACAGCGGAATGAACTGCCAACTTATCCAGCATATGTTTTACACAGTGGATACCCTTCCAGCTGCAACCCAGTACTGGGAAATATCCATACACCCTCATTCACACACACACACACACTATGGCTAATTTAGTTTATTCATTCACCTACAGCATAGCACATGGGTTTGGAGCACCCAGAGGAAACCCACATGAACACGGAGAGAACAAGCAAACTCCACACAGAAATGCCATCTGACCCAGTCGGGACTCCCACCAGCAGCCTTCCTACAGTGAGGCCATGTGTATATATATATATATATATATATATAAAGATACATTATTTTTTCCCTTAATAGCTACATTTTAAAGAAATCTATTTGCTTAAGTCAGCTGAACAGTAAACAACAACAGCAATAGAAACCACCAAAGGACACCATATGAACACAGCCAAAATGACTTATTAGAGCATGCACATCTTTGTCATTCCAATGGATTTTTAAAAATATGTACATGCCGCCTTTTCTTCCATGTTTCTTGAACTTTTCCCCTTTATGAGGAAAACTATTGAATACTATAAAAGCTGTTCAGCGTTTTATTTTTTTCTGACTAACATTAAATAAACTTAAACTAAAAGTTTTAGATTGTGAGCAGGACAGCACACTGGTTCTCCCGCAGCATGTTTGTTCATCATTTCTATCTTAATGTGTTGATCATTTTCTTTTGTGTTTCTGTATTGTGTGAAGGTCAACCAGTCCACAGTTTATGCTGCTATAATCTTTATTCAGTTTTATTCATAAACTATGTACAAGATATACACTGTGCTCACGTCGGCTCCAGGTCTCTTGGGTGAAGGTCTCTCAGTGACGTGGTCTCTTCTGGTCGCCTTGCGTCTCTGGTGGAGATGGGGAGCGGGAACGTTTCCCTCTGGCGTCCTGGACTGAAGATGCTGCACCTGCTGAGGAAGAGGAGGGCAGCGGCTTGGTCTGGAAGAAGGAAGGCCTCTTTTTCTTCTCAGCAGCATAGGCCTCACTGAACAGATCGAGCGCAAACACACACAAGCAGACATAATGTGAGATTTTCACAAACAATAGAACATGCTGCAATGCCAAGTACAGTTTACTCACGCGTCTATGATGGGAATGACGTATTTGCCGCTGCCGTCCATCATGACTCCCTTTCGGTTTGGGTCGTCCACCTCCAACAGGAAGCTGCGGGGAATCCCTGTGCTCCTCCGGATGTGCTTATGCGGAGCAGAGCTGCTGCCCTGTGAATTCATGAGTGACAGTCAAACGACAGAGCAAACAATCTGACTGATGGAGACAAGAGCTCAAGTTCACAGCAACCATAAGCTTAGAAAACCCAGTTACCCCTTTAGAGGGGCAGTGCCTAATGTGGTGTCCTGGGATCCCACAGTGAAAGCAGACATAGTTGAGTGGAAGAAGCCCAAGCAGTGTCATGGCCTCACTGATGAACATCAGAACCATGAGAATCAGCTCTAACATTTCTCACAAACCAAACCTGTCAGTGTCTGAATGCTCACCTGCTGGAGTAGTAGCACAGACTGGACTGGTACATCACCGCTTTTAGCTTGTCCTCCTCTGATGCCTTTGCCTCAGCCAGATTCTCAGTCTGTTTCACAGGCATTTGCACATTAGAATTTTATTTTACTGGTCTGCCTAAGAAGCTGTGTGTGTGTGTGTGTGTGTGTGTGTGTGTGCGTTTGTGTGTTTTACACTGTGTATTGATATTCTGCACTACATGTCATTATGACGCCACAAATGCAAACACTGCAGTTCAATACAGAGCAGCACAGTGGGGTGAATTAATCATTTGTTCAATACCTTCAACAGCTGCTCCAGTGAGAGGAGTGAAGAATCACCTGTTTGAGAAGATTTAGCTGATGGTCCAGCTTGATGTCTGCAAAACAAAACAAAGGAGCTTGTGTGACTAAAACACCACAGACAGACTCAAACTCTTGATATAACATCTATCAGAGGATGATTGCGCTCATTTCACATGACTTACCCAACAAATCTTCTGTTTGATGACTTCAGTCCAGCAGCAGGGACCCGTCTGATGATGACCGACATGTTTTTGGGGATGAGAGCATCATCATCTGTGTATTCTGACAGCAAAATAAAGTTTATATATTAATAATCATTTACCATAGTATACTTTGAGTGCCATTAGCATTTTAAAACACTCAAAACATCACTATTTGTCACCATCAGAGTCATGATAACACATGTCAGCTTCTACAAGTCTGTCTGATAACACATCTAATGTTAGTGTAGTATAGTTTAAGTGGCTTTTCCTCATCTCACCTTCATCAGTTTGGGCTTTGCTGATCTTCAGCTGGCAGAACTTCAGCCTCTCGCGCCTCATGATCTGCCGCTTCAGCTCTCCCACAGTGATGTTGAGGCCCTCAAACTGGAGCGAGTCGTAGGTGAGTCGACTCTGAAACCTGTAATGAACACAAGACATACTGAACACAAACCACAGTGTGATAACAAGGGTCAAACCTGAATGATGGGAGAAGCAGACGATCAATCGATGTATCCAACAATCAATAATATCAATAATCTGGGAATCAGTAGCCACGAAGGACGCCGAGATCAGATGCCAATGAGCGAAGTTCAAAACAACACAAAAAGAACCGTTGCCATGGATGTTGACGATCACGTGACAAGGCGCTAAAAACTTCCGCGTTATTTTCTCATTAATAATAGTGAAATCATTACTATGATAATAATAAAATAAACAGCAGAACAGTTTGCCATCTCTGAATATTACACAGTGGCGTTTCCTTACACGAATGATTCAGGACTCTGTATAGAGTCGGGCGAGTCACTGAATCAGTGATTCGTGGCTGAATGAATCACTTAAAGCTTCACTCGATTAAAGAGGTCTCTTGCTGCCACCTATTGGCGATTTGTTTTTCCGTTTTAAAGTAATTTAACACTTTTTAAAAACACCTTTAAATGTATTTTCTACAAATGTTCATCTCTGTATGTTAAAATGATTTAAAACTCTCTAAGCTCATCATTTATTTGTTTGCCCTTGATCTTCATTATGTGTTACAGTTTTTTTTCCAATTGTTTTGCCACAAATTTCAGAACCCTGATGTCAATTTTAAAAACTCTAGACACAAAATCCTAAACAGTCACAACTTTTAACACAGACTCTCCAGTGTTCTGCATACAGCATTCATTCCCTTAAAGAAGTCTTGCATTTGCAGGATCATTGATTCACATAATCCTTTTATAATACAAATACTACAGGAACACTACTTTAGATCACCAGCAGCACACAAGATGTACATCGCTTCAATAAACAATCATTAACAATCATTAAATATTGTTGTTTAAAATATATGATACAGGTTTCATTATGGTCTATAAGTGTAAGGGGGAACAGTGCAGAAAGTGGATATACTGAACTAGTTTTATTCATTCCATCATAATGTAGGTTTACTGTATTTTTTTTCTCACTTCACGTCCCCATATAGAAAGCTGATAAATGGCATGATATATGGTCCCATCTGCAAATTACATTATTATAAAATGTCATAATAGTCAATAATTTGTCAAAATAGTGAAAAAAATCATTGTTTATATTTTTTTCAACCATATCATATATATATATATATATATATATATATATATATATATATATATATATATTTGTAGGGGTAAAATATATAACATAATGGATCATATATATATACGTAACATATATGTACATATTTGTAATTCTAATATTTTAACAAATGGCAATATTTTGACATGTGTAACATATTTTATATATGTAAAATTCATATGAACTATTATGTCACATATGTAATTTGCATATATTTCTATATATCAGATTTCTATTTTGGGATTTTGTGTTACCATCAGTCTGGTCTTGTGGATTTGGTCACGGGTTCTCCTCTACATTTCAGTGGTGTTTTCATTACTCAGAAATCTTGGAAAGAACCTTCTGTCAATGTAAATCCAGGCCTGACATTGGTCTGCTGTGACTGGGCTTTCTTACAGTGATGTCAAATATATAAACATTGTCTGTAAAAGTGGTACACAGAACAAAGAAACCATAAATATGGACTAAGGATGAATAAAGATGACATCTATAGATAATGTAGTTCAGTTGGGTCATCTTCTGTGGTAACTGATGTCATTTGATCTATCCTGATTATTTCATCATCTAAACATGTAATATTGTACATCAGTTTCCCCACATCAACAATAATGCAGCAGTTATTCATCATTTTGAGTGCTTGTATCAGTTGATAATAACATCACGTGAAGTAAATTAATACATGGTTATTTCAAATGTAATGTTTGAGTTACATTTTGAAATGGGATCAATTTGAAGTTTAATTGTGTTATATTGAAAAGGTGATCTTAGTTCAATGAATAAAGTATGTTTGACTTGTGTGTGTTGTATCCAAGCATTTGAAAAAAGAGTTAAAAGTTTTGCAAAAATGTACAATTTTGGCAAAGGTTGTGAATTTTGTGTCTAGACTTTTGAAAATTGACACCAAAGTTCTGAAATTTGTGGCAAAACAATTGTAAAAACCTGTAATAAAAAAAGAGAAAGGATAAATCTTATAGATGATGAGCACAAATCTGAAAGCATCTGTGGATCTGTCACAATCCACTCATTTATTATCATTACTGTGGGTTTCTTCATCACAAAAATAAGCCCATGTAAGAATTGAAATATTGCAAATATTTTTGATGTCTTTGACAATTCAAAACATGAGCTGAAAACAGAGACTGTTGACCACAACCCAGCAGGTGGGAATGCGGGAAAAACCAATTCCTGCTGCATTTGCATCTGAGTCTGCTGAAACTCGGCTTCAACCACCCCAACTCACACATATGGTCATTTCAATGTTTGAATGTTCTAGATTAACCTAAGTGACTTTATCTATCATGTTTGATATCATTTGAAATGTCTCAGTGCGATTGGTACAATGGTCTCATTCTCTCAGAAATAGACATAATCAAAACAATAAATATATAACTTCAGGCATCTTTTGAACCACTGTGAAGGGTGTGACTTTTCCACAGGCAGCACTAAATGCAAGTGCCTTTTGTTATGCACACACCCCTGTCCTTGAGGGAATTCTTGGATTACTTAAGGTAAGGTTTGAGAAAGGCTCAGCGCGATTCTGCTTACCCCGATCAGCCCGTAACATGGAGCTTATGCTCCATGTTATGTATATTTTAAAGTCAGGAATGCATCTTTTAATCTTGGATTTATCTTTGGTAACTTGATGTATTTATTGATCTTTTATGAATTGACTGATTGAATTGGCATAATACACATTTACCTGACTAATAAATTGTTATGTTTTGAATTATTCAAACAGTCCTCGTGTTATTATCACTGATAAATGTTGTTGTCCATAGCACTACAAGCCACTGTACAGGTTAGTAACGGACTAAAACATGTTAGACGGAGCAGTGTGGCACGCTATACAATGTTGCTAGAGATCCGACTAACATATTGGCATTAATTCAAGTATACTTAGACTGTAAAAGGCCAACTATGAGTTTTCTATTTAGAACAACAAAATATTGTTGAAACTAATCTAAATGTGGGTATTTAGGCCTTCATCTACAAACTTATAATCCTGTGCGATTATTATTAAAATACTTTGTCTTGATTAAGTAGATAACAGATCTATGGGGACCACATAAAAAATCTCCTAAATTGAGTAAGTATAGGGTTCTGCCACTTTAGGAGAGTGGTTAATCGCCTCTGTTTAATGACCAAGACTGACAAGCTTGTATTAAGAGATTGTATACCCGGCCGGTGCAAGACTCGAGATGCTATAGGAATCTGAGTAAATGAGAATAAGGTATAATAACAAATCAAAAGAATATTCAATCATAATCTAAAATAATATGAAAGGAAACAAAATAATCTTATCAATGTTTTATAATTGGAGTCAGATAAAACGAGGATAAATATATTAATATTCTAAACCACCTCATACTAAAATTGGAGTCAGATATGAGTTAAGTTTAATATAAATCAACATTGTGCACTGGAAAGACTGAACATGCAGTGAACCTTCATCCACCATTGGATACCGTCATTGGACCAACTGGGTGGACCCTACACCCATATACATGTAAATAAAACACCACAAGCAGATTTAAAACATCAGAATCTGCAGAACAAGGATCAGCACTGACCTTTCCAAGAAGAGCGACTGCAGCAGGCTTGAACTGAAAGGCTGATTCATTTTATTGAGTGTTTCTAATTCAAAAACTCTTTTGTTTAGGGTTAGTGATTCAGATCTCATTTAATGTTTACAGAATAATGAAAAATGATTTACAGACCTAATTTGCATCAATGAATTAAAACAAAACAAGAAGACTGCAATGAATAATCCCTGATATAAGGATCATTTCTAATCATTTATCAGATTTACCATTGTTTTAATTATTACGAAAAATCTGTGAAATGCAAATTTTACTCATGCAAAAAAAATATTACAGACAATGGATTATCAAGTTATGAATTCCAATAGTGAAGGTGACGAGGCAGTGGCGCAG